TCGGTGTCTCTTACCATCTGCCTTTCTTTCCCCATTTTTGGCCCCACTCAAGAACAATTTGCAGTGTCGGGCAAGTATGCCGCACTCTAACGAAAAACACTAAGCTTACATGTGGCCTTTTGAAAGTGTAGCAATAGATAGCTGTGCATTATTCAGTAAGTTTATGTTGTTTAGTGTATTGGATTAGATGTCAATATAAGTACTTCCACATTAGTTTCCACTTTGTAAAATTGACTATCACGCAAACTGCATCTTACCATATATTAACCTCTAGGATGAGTGTCCTCTGTTGGAAGAATCAATCTTTCTTACAGCTGAGAGCTAGAGAATGCAATTCAAGACAACCAAAAACCTTAACAAGAAAATTGATACATCATACATTAGCTACAGGAATTTACCCATGGCATAAGTTTTGTAGGCTCTGAGCTCCAAGGTTGATATGATCCTTCATGCTTTTGTACCTTCTCCTGTAAGTACTGTACGTATTGAATTACCTGCATACAAACATCAACAGTCACAAAGAGATCAAAACTTTCCAAAAATAGAAATTGAACAAAGGAAAAGGTAAACTGGTTTTCTACTAATAAAATGTACCTCCAACAAGAATGATGCAGTATCCCTCTTTTGATCGGTATGGGGTATCAGATCTCTCAATATCTGAAATCTAGACAATGCAAACACAAGCTTTAGTAAAACGCCAAAATTGTGTTCAGGCAAATTATTATAGATTAGATTACATAATCATTATTTGTTTTTTGAGAAAGAATTTGACCGCATAATCTTCAAATTCATAAGAGTGATACACCTAGCAAATGCTTCATTTTTTAATGAAAATGAGTACGAAAAGAGATCCCCTACTCAATCGACCCCCGCCACTCCAAATAGACCAAAAAAAGTTTAATTTAAAGACTTCCATGGACTAAATTATGAGGCACGTTTTAAGAGGCTTTTCCTCAGATTTAATAATTACTTCCTCCGTTTCAATTTAGACGATGTAGTTTGATTTGGAACAAAAAGGGCAGCCTGGTGCACTAAGCTCCTGCTATGCGCGGGGTCCGGGGAAGGGCCGGACCACAAGGGTCTATCGTACGCAGTCTTACCCTGCATTTCTGAAATATTTGGTCCTAAAAGAAGACTTTTGAAATATTTGATCTTAAAAGCTTAAGGGGCAAAAGCTTTGTGGGGCCATGACATTTGTGTGGATAAAAGCTTCTCATTAAGGGTAAAGTAGGTAAAATAAAAGTTTAAAGTTAAATTGTTTCCAAATATAAAAATGTGTCATTCTTTTTGGAAACGGACTAATAATGAAAGTGTGTCATCTAAATTAAAACGGAGGGAGTACATTATTTTGAGTGGCTTGGCCAGTTATTAAAAAAGTTTACTTCTCCGGAGAAATAGAGTAAGTAACTTGACTCAGCAAGTTACATTTAGTAGCCCTTGTAATAATTTTGGAGGAATAGGAATGTAAACATCCTGTAAGTATATTCTACATAATTAGCGGAGTTCATCAGTTACCAAATTTTTTATACCTCCATAGGTGCTAGTTTTGATTCTTATAGAGTTTTCAAGTTATAAGTAGGCTTCCTAGGATTTCCTCTGCAAATATCAGTATCACTATGTGGCCCTCCCTCCTTTTTTAATTTTTTTTTTTTGGGGGGGGGGGGGCTGATGCACCCTATACAATTTGCATATAGACACTGAAAAACTAGAAGATCTCGTTGAAATTCTATACAGATGCTCCCCCAATAATCTATACTTGTGTTTACATAACAAATAAACCCCTAAAGTATTTTAATAGCCTACTGTCATATGTCATGAGTAGCAACTTTTCTTCTAAACAACTCTAGTTTAATAACTTATTTGAGACTCCTAACACCTTAATGTGCTTGTCCCTTAGACAAAGGCACTTAAAGATGAAAAGTAAACCAACAAAAAAGCATATAACTATGAAAACTTGCGTGTAATGATACTTGCAAAATCTGTTTGCAGATTCATTCTTTTTTCTTTATTAGATTTCTATGAAGTTTTCAATTTCCTTTGTTTGACAATGCCATAAATGACTCTCGAGCCTTTGCAGCGCAAACAATTATTGTATAGACAACGTGGGAAAATTTGGACATTTGAATCATAACAGACAAATATTGAAAAGTAAGGAACATCTCTGAAGCACTAATGCACATACGTAATAGATATGAGAATTCACAAAATCAGAAGGTGTAGTTACACTGTCAGTTGCAACATAGGAGACTAGGTGCTCTCAAGAATTAGCAGCGTCGAACAGCATTTTAAGAATAAGCACGTAGGTCTATTTGAAGTTGAAAACAACATATTTCGGAATTTCATATAAAGCATTGACAACTAGCTTTTAGAAACAACTAGATTTCGAACTATGCAAACACTGAGACATTGTATTGTTATTTTATCTCGAGTAAGTTAAATACTACACTGCATATCAATCTCTGAACTTAGAGCTTAAATTAATTTTCTTGCTCAAGCCTCCCAAATACTTATTTTACTATATAATTCTTTTCCTGAAACTCAACCAGCAGCTCCTCTTGGCTGAAAGTAATTGACTTAAATCAATCAATCTATGCCTTAATTCCACAATCCCAGACCAGTTGGTTTGGTAACCAAATCCTCTATAATCATTCCGCTGCTTTTAGGCCCATCCCAAACATTTAGTTGTCCTGGAAGTAATTAACTAACCAAAAAAGGTTAAGCTAGTTATTACTGAAAACAGCTTCAGCTTATCTCTTTAGACAAGTTAATATCCAGCTGTTTGCAACATCTTATAAATATTCACTTTACATTTACACTATCTTGTTCCATGTATCACGGCTTTTATAGACAGTAACTGTATTAAATGAAGAAATCTAAAAAACAAGACCTAAAAATCTCACAACCTAACCTTTAGTGTACATCCAGACAAATCCAAAACTTCAATTAACGAAAAAGCGAAACAGAATATACGGACAAACCTCTCGTTGATCTTGCTCCTTCGACGCTGCTCTGTGACTGAATGCTTGGACCTTATTGCGCTTGCCTTATCATTATTCTTCCCATCTGTTGCATCCATCCATAATAATATAACCACAAAAACAAAAACAAAAGTTCAGGAATTTGCCTATTACATCTCAAAATCGAGTTCAAATCATAAAAACAACAACTACTACTACTACTATGCCTCAGTGCCAAACAAGTTCGGGTCGTCTATATGAATCCTCACTTACCACAATCCAGTTCAACTCATAACAACAACACTATGCCTCTGTATCGAACAAGTTAGGGTCAGCTATATGAATCCTCACTGACTACAATCCAGTCAACTCATAACAACAACTATGCCTCAGTACTAAACAAGTTGGAGTCATCTATATGAATCCTCACGCACCATAATCCAGTTCAACTCTATTTATTTATTTTTTTGAAAAAAAAAAATCTACCTTTCATCTACAAAATTAAGTGACGAAGAAAACTTACAGACCTTTAGTATTGCTACTAGAAGGTGGAGTGGCATCTTTCTTTAAACCAACCTCGTCTTCCTCCTCTTCTTCCTCTTCTAGATGACCTTTCACCCCTTTCATTATTTTCTCCACAGATTTATCTATCAAAATCCAATTCTCTGCACACACAAAAAAACAAAGATAAAAGTAAAGACACCCAGGCCCAGCTATACCAAGAAATAGAGATCTGTAATAGCTCAATCTAATAAAAGGATCTATACAATATAAGGAGGGAAAAAATAAAGGTTCAAATGAAAATAGAGAAGAAAGATTACAGCTTTTTTTCAGGGAAATTTGAGTTCTTGAGAAATTGGGATTTGGGTCTCTGAGATTTAGGGTCGATAGTGAGGAAAAAAGCAGTAGCAATTACTACTGGTGCGGGTTCTTGATTGTGGTGGTGAAAGTCGAAATTTCGCTTTTTGGTATGAGAGTCATTTTTTTTTTTAACTTTTGTCAATTGTTGAATTATTACAATTGTGTTTGGCTTTACCTAATTGTTGGGTGTCATGAGTCATGTGACTTATTTTAATTTCATTCATATGCATTTGATGGTTCACAACCTAAAAAGTAGGCAACTTAGTATGATGAGGCTTTTCTTTGTCACATTTTGTTCTATTCACTTTTCCTTTTCTTTTTTTCTTTTTTTTTCCCCTTAGTTTATGACTCTACTAATTAGTAATTCCCCATCTGATTGTATTAAAGTTGTACCAACCAAATAAATGCAGCTACAACACAGTGACCTGTGTTGGTAGAACTAGGGACTGCGGGAGACGAGAGCATTGAGGAAAAATTTTACTTTGTACCTCACACAACTTACACTAGTTGTGTGAGGCCTTTTTTTTAGTATCACAACATTGTCGTTCCATAATTTTGTGGACTCAAATGTGTAAGATATGGGTCTACAAATGTATGAGATAAAAAGAGGTCTCACACAACTAGTGTTAGTTGTGTGAGGCACAAAGTAAAATCACTCGAGCATTGAGCTATTGGCGGGACACGGAAACAATTTGCCAGTCTGATTAACAAACATTATCAACATATATAGTCTTTAAACGTTTATGCCAAAGAAAATCTTCAATTTTCTTTATATACGTGTATCTGATTAGTGAACTGGAGAATATTGGACATAATTAGTAGTACTATCATTTGAATCTCAGGTAAAATTTAATATAATTTGGTTGTTGGCAGATCATTTAGTTGTTGTAATCCCGGGAAATTTCGAAGTATTTTAAGACCATTAAGAAGATTGGCAGGTGCTAATTATATTAATTCGGGTATGAACATGACTAATAATTTGAATGATATCAATTGATCATGATAATATATGTATGAGGTGCATTAAGAATGGTTTATTGTCTAAGAAGAGACCTAAGGCTAAGTCAAGTTGAAAATTATATGATGGGATAAAGTTTCAAGTGAGTTTGCACAAGACCTAACTTCAAACGAGCATACCTCTCAAAATATGAAGATTTATATGGTGTATAACCTATTAAATGAAAGGTCTATGTGTCTACTTTCTAATTCTTCACACCGTTTGTCATTTGGAGATTCCTACAAGAAGTTATGACCTTTTTACTAAAGGGTGACAGAACATCTATGCTAGTCTTCAAATTGGAATTGATTTCTAGAGAGAAGGAGGAGCTCTTCCACCATGGATACACTTCAAGGTAAGTTATTTTGGTACAAGGATGATTATATAGCATCATTTAGTGATAACACTAACATTATTATGGATCAAATCCATAGGAAATGGGTTGAATCTTCAAGAACACCAAAAATAGAAAAAGTGTGATTCTTCCACCAAGAGGTAATCCCTTTACTTGAGCTGCATATATATGTCATATTAGAGTATGGGTAGCATATATGAGTTTTATTTGAAGTTGTAATGGGATGTTGTATGAAACCTAAGGGTGGGTCTTGAGAATATCATTTTGGGTAAAGAATAAGATGAATAGTGATGAATTGATATAAATACATATGTCTTGATGATTCCAATAGACTTGATAACTTAATCAATGAACGAATTTAATTGGGAATCACCATTTTGATAAGATACAACACTAGTTCTTGAAATGGATGTTCTTGAACCTAGAGTTTTGTTGGAGAAGATAATGAATAGTGAATTGATGATGTTGGGTAATTAACATAGTATTATTAATGACTCCAACTGAGTATTAAATGATAAGAATTGAATTAAATAGGCTAATGGATGAGCCTATTGGATAATTTGGGATGGTTGAAGGCTTGATGCCGAATTGTGAAGCCTAAATAGATATTTATGAATCTTTTCGTATTTGTTTTAATGTAGTTGGGATATCTAATGGTAGGTATGGAATTGTGGGTGATATTTGGACATTTTAATCAATTGGAGCATTGTGTATTTTCGGATCTTGAAGGTTGAGGTAAGTTGATTAATACTTACTCTTCTTGAGGGATTTTCTCTAAAATTATATTTGAGTTATTACGTTAGTTGGTTTGTAGATGTGCATACGTACTTGTAGGGACAAGCGGGAAAGATGTCACCATGTGTTTCTAAAATGTTGTTTATGAAGTGTCATGAGATTTTATAGAAGTCTCTTTTTCAAAACTTGTTGGTAAAATGACAGTTAAGAAAATTCTTATGAGTTTTATTAAAACTTATTTGTTGATAAGAGTATAAAATGCTTGAGTGCTAAATATATGTTTTCATGAAAAAGTTTATCTTTTGAAATTTCATCAAAGGAAGCACTTGTTGTAGCTTAAGATTGATGTTAATTGCTAAAGGCTTTAACATGAAAAAGGTTATTCATTTGATTTTGTTCAAATGGTTTGGATTGGCTATGAAAATCATGATTTGATAAAAATAGATCCTTTGAGGCAATTATGCTATGAATCTATTTTTGAAATATCAAATATTTTGGGTGTTACTAGTGGAGACCACACAGATTGATTCGAATGTTGAGTTCGTTACCGTGGAACTACACGTGCCGGTGTAGGGACACATTCCAAGGCTACGCCGAGGTTTGTGGGATAAAGTCCCCTATGAGGGCAAATGATCATTACTTAAAGTAATGAGGTTAAGTCGACTCGTACGGCACTACGGGAAGCCGTCCAGACAAGTAGGGTCAAATACTTGTTACTAGGTCGATCACCTCGTAGTATTTTATTATGTCGGTATAGTACTCCCGGTGAAAGGTAAAAGAGAACTTTCTTATGTTTAAGCTTAAGGAGCCGAAAATAATTTCAATGACTTCATGATATTGAAATGGTTTTATATGAATTCTATTAAAATTTTGGGTTGATAGAGACGTTCTAAAACTTTATAACATGGCTTACATTTCACTTGTCTTTTATTTAAAATGATAAAGAGCATGATTTATATAAGTGTTTATCAGTTTATGTCCAATTAGTTGCACAGTTGTTTTGAAAATTTTTGTTTAAGGAACTTGAGTTAGAGAGAGTCTATGACACTTATTGAGTACCGCTGTGGTGTACTCAGCCCTTAAGGGGGCCCTCAAGGGACCCACTTACTTTACATGTTTCAGGATAAGGTATGGTACGTGGCATACAGACATGGCTAGGACGACTATCTTCCTGAGGTATATGGCAATGCACCACCTCTATTTCCGTGATAGCTATCATGATATTTCTTAATTTATGTTAGTCGGGCATTAGCCCAAGTGTTTAGTTCTATTCCTTGGTATAGAGGCTCCATAGATAGTTGTGAAAAGTTGTAGTAATGGGATTATACGCGACATAAATGAAAAGATATTTATTTTACTTACTCTCATTGTTGTGATTATGAGAGGCTTCAGGTATGATTTTGAATTGGAAAATTGTTCCATGGTTTAACTTGAAAATATATAAAATTTTCAAAGAGTTTCCGCGGTTAAATTAGTTTTTCATGCATATGGTTTGGGTGCATCATATGGGTTGGTTCGCTCGGGTCGGATAGTGTGCCGGGTGCCGGTCACGTGGATTTGGGTCATGACAGTTGTGTACTTTTATCAATTCTATGTTGCTTAAACTCACGCAGCTGCCGCATATTGATGTAGATCTAGAGGTCGAATTCTTATATATCCAACTTTGGCGTCACCAATGAAGTCATACCTGCATTGTACAGAAATTTATAAAACGTGTCCACTTTGGAACACACTTCAGAATTCGGGCCCGAAATTATAAATTTAGGATTTTGTAAGATATGAAATTCTTTTATTGCTTCAAAGTGCAACTTCAGAATTGGACCTGAAGTTTTCTATCGCTTCAATCCAACTTAAGAAAATCGGATTTAAAGTTCTTCTATCGCTTCAAGTGCAACTTCAGAAAATAGGGATCTGAAATTCTTCTATCACATTAATGTAACTTTAGAATCAGATCTGAAGTTCTTTTATACTGCAAACACCACTTCACAAGATACAGTGCAAAACCTCAGAAACAGTGGAGCTAGAATTGGGTGGTGGATGGATAGTGTTTGGTGTTCCAGTTTTGGCTTTGGAGATAGACCGTGGTACTTTTATGTGATTTCATGATGGAGCTCGCAACTAGTTTCAGGTGATTGTTATGGTGTTTGGTTGTTCAAATCTAGTGGTGAAATAGTGAGAAAGAAAACTACAAGTCTTTCATGGCGATTTTACAGAAGAAGGAGAAGACGAGAGGGGACTCGGGAGAAGCAGAAAACATGAAAGAAGCGGCATCTAAAATGTTCACTAAATTGGATACCAATTAAATACTTGTTTTAAATAAAATAAAAAAGCAAGCACAAGTTAAATGGGAATGATCAAATAGGGCGCCTCGTGAAATTTTTACGCGTTAGGGAGTTAAAGAAGTGCAATTGTACCCTATTTTAGGGTCACCTTTGAATTTATACCCATATTGTAAAGAAATTGTTATAAATAAAATTCTATTTAAGGTGAATGTCTATATTTTAGAGAGATTTTAGGGATTTTACTTGGTGACTAAAACACTCTTTCCCTATTAATAGAGGGGTCCTATTCCATTGTAATTCATCCCAAAATCAATAAGAATTCTCTCTCTACTTTTCTCCGAAATACGCTTCTTCTTCTTCTTTTATTGCTCTCTACTTTTCTCCGCAATACTCTTCTTCTTCTTTTATTATTTTATAACACGTTATCAGCACGAGGCTCTAACCAATTGAGTAGAAGCTTTGGGATTAAGCATAATGGTTGTCAATTGTTCCATGAACTTCCTTCATGATTAAATTCTGAATTTAAGGTAAGTATTTTACTTTATTTTTCTCTTTTAAATTCTTGAAATTCTATAATTTGATTTTAAAAACAAGCAAAGACAATAAACTATGATTATAACTCTAATGGAGTTTGTAAGAAATTATAACCATCTGAAGTGATAAAAATTTTATGCCTTGCCATGATCAAATTCATGTATGATTGTGGGCAAACTATTGAAAAAATGTCCCATTGAATTTGCTCCATTCTCACTCCCTTAAGAGAATGTGATAGCAGTATGTGATAAGTCTGAAAGAAGACAACATTATTACTATGAATGTATCAATGGATGTGGACGTGATAATAGACGAAATTATAATCGTCATCATTGTGGTAATGGAACAATAAGGATTCTCAAAATAATCTTTCACTCTGTGAAAGTAATATTTGTCATTGATTTGACATGAAATTCCGTAAAGCACATATAGATGATTATGGTCCATTCATGATGTGAATGTGACAATATCTGAGTTACGAATACATATTCATTCTTCGAAGAATATGAACGTGCTAAAGGTAGTGGATATACAACACTCACCTCTAGAAGGAGGTTTGAGATGATATAAGAAAATAACGTCATTATTATGGCATGGATGGTTATTGGTCACGTACCTATTGTACGCCAAAATATTTTGGCAATGTGATTAATAAAGGATAACAGTAATGCAAGAAACATATCTTGCATATAATTTTTACAATGACCATAATATAACTTTCTCTTTAAAAGAGATATTCACCATATGGTTGTTGATGAATATGTGGTAGTACCAAATTAATTGAGAGCTCTCGAAGAGCCAATTATTACTATTTTGGAGGAATAAAATTGATTATCAATAAGGTATTGTGTTGTAGTAAGTCTCAAAGAAACTTATTAAGTTTCTAAAGTATTCGCGAAAGCGGTTGGTTATATTGAGACTATAAATAAAGGAAAGATTTAATATCTTCTATTACTACAACTTGTAGCGGGGTAATATGTATGTGAAAAGTTACCCGCTTTATTCTCCAATTTGTACTACACAAATAAAAGAATACCACAATAAAGTGGATTTTTATTGATATAAAAACCCATATCATAATAAACTTGGAGTTTATTGATAATTGCACAAGTCATGGTGTACACCTGAAATTTATCAATATTGATAATATATTCAGTTGGCATAATTGTTTAGCCATGTTAATTTAAGTATGATGTGCAAAAATAAAAGAGAATTCACATGGGTAAATATTAAAGAACTAGAAAGTTCTTTATGAATTCTCTTATGTTGCTTGTTCTCACTAATTAATAGACCAACTAATGAGATTGAATCCCATGAATGCTAGAAATATCAAAGGTGAATATGGGCCCATTCACCTGCCATGCATACCACATAAGATGCATCTATGAGATGGTTATATGTGCGATTATTATTAACCTGCAACATGGTGTTTGCGAGGTCACTTGCTCAATAATTTGTTTTAGAGCATAATTTCCAGATCTTTTACTCAAGAAAGTTTACCTTGATAAGTTGGTTTACATCACAGTTAGTTTAGCAGAATAATTATTGAGTGCCTCCACTTAATAGCTAAACTATTGCTTATGAGAACAAAGTTATCTATATCAGTTTGACATACGTTATATACGATAGTATATTATATTCTCCCCTCACAAGTGATTTCAGGGTCAGGAACCAAATAATTCCATCTCATTATTATTGATGCGCGGTGTATATTTTGATTAACACCATAACGCACAAAGATGAGCTTTCAAAGTTGAGGAAGCAAGTTAGTTTTTCTAACATGAGGGGGAGACAGGATAAACAGTTGAGAAAAAGTTACGTGGAATGTATTATCGTGTGTTCATCTAGATCCTCGAATAAGATAATATGAACTTGAAGTCCATAAAAAGATAATTCATTTGCAATATATTGCAAAGCATGCCAGACGCATTTGCTGACCCAAAGAAAGTAACTATATTCTCACTGCAAATGCTCCTATTAGAATAAGTCCTAGAAGGACAAAGTCTATGGTACACTTAAAGCGTATAGAAAAATCCGTTTCAAATAAACTTCTTAATAAAGAAGATGAGTAAATAATCAAAATGATCATAATATGGAGGCAAGTGATCTAGAAGATCACATGACATAACACTTCATAAAATCTCAGGAGAGATCCAGGTACCTGAAAATATGAATGAAGAGATCTCTAGTCATGTATTTATGAAAAAATGTTGGAACCGATATAAAACGTTCGTCGATGACATCTATGATAGCGCTAAGTATATATGAGGATCTTATGTCTGTCGAATATAGACACAAAAATATTGGCCAAATGAAAGAGACACAATTAGAATAGAATTGGTTTCATATGAAAGACATGTAGTTTTGGACATGCAGTTCAAACACTTAAAAGTGTAAAGTCAACGGTGTGTGCAATCACCTCTATCTATCTTATATGTCTAGCATGACCTGAAAACTTGATGTAAAATTAAAGTCCATTTATATGGCTTATATGACTTAACTTATGACAATACCTGAAGGATTCAAATGGCTTAAAGCATATACAATTCTTGGTTTTGAAGTACCATATCTTAAGTGCAACTTGTGCACATATGTATTTTGCTATAACTATAAGCATGATAATGTGACAGTGAAAATACCTCTATGGAGATATTAAAAAGACTATTCCACGACATTATATGAAGACATTACATATACACAAGAATGATGATTTCAAGTTGCAACATATTCATTCAAGTGATAATATGACTGATTTGTTTATCGAATCTGTACCAACGATATTTTGAAGATGGTGCACAAGATTGGAATGCAAAGGCTTAAAGATGTGAATTGATGCTCTCATCGGGGGGAGTTAATACGCGTTGTACTCTTTTTTCCTTACAAGGTTTTGTCCCGCTGGGTTTTCCTTGCAAGGTTTTTAAAGAGGCAACCAAAAGGCGTGTTGTTAGATATGAATACTCTTTTTCCTTTACTAGAATTTTTTTCCCACTGAATTTTATTTTAATTAAGGTTTTAACGAGTCACATTATCTGTTGAATAGACATTCACGGGGGAGTGTTATAAATAGAATTCTATTTAAGGTGGATGTCTATATTTTAAAGAGATTTTAGTGATTTTACTTGGTGACTAAGTCACTCTTTCCCTATAAATAAAGGGTCCTATTCCATTGTAATTCATCCCAAAATCAATAAGAATTCTCTCTCTACTTTTCTCCGCAATACGCTTTTTCTTCTTTTATTGTTTTATAATATAAATTTATAAGTTCATCCCTTTTTAGGACAAATTCAGGAGAAATTTAGACGTACAGGATCTGAAGTTATAACTCGTAGCTGAACTTCATGCACTATGGCTAACGTTCAGGTGCTTTTTTCATGAACTTCACGTCCATATGGCTGAAGTTCAGGCATTTCTAAATGAACTTCAAACACATATGGATGGAGTTCATGCATGTTTTGCTTGAATTTAATAGACGAATATAGCTGAAGTTCAGCATTTTTGC